GTATCGAGAAAGAATAAACTAGTTTTAATTAAGAAAGGACTCGTATCGCTGAAGTTTCTCGGAAAGAATTTCTACGGGAAATTAACAAACAAGCAGATACGCAACAATATATATGTGTATATATACATATATTAAAAGTATGTATTATCAACACTAAAAAAACAGAAAAAAAAGTCATAAGGCCTTGAGTCGAAATTTCAAGCTGCTCCAGACAAGACAGTACCCGTATTGTAATATTACATGGGCTTGTTGAAGCTCTACGAAATATTGATCATTTTTACATTATATTACGTCCAAGAACGGAGCAAATTGATAACAATGAAGGTGGTTTCCTAGCAACGTAACAAAGACATATAATATCTTTTGTTTCTTTAATTTGATTCGATGTCTCGAAACAACGGATTTTCACTGTGTGTTATCAAAAACATCTGTTAAATTACAAACAAAATCTTTCTGTCTCAAACATTTAGCTGAGGCCTAGTTAGTGGGAAAAGTTAGATATGAATTATAACTTCTTAGAGAACCAATGAAAACATAAATAAGAAATATATACATCGTGCTTCAGACACTGAAACGTCTTGTATTGAAAACCATCAAGACACAGTGTAGTACAAGTCCAAGTCCACTCCTCCTTGAACTTTAAACTAACAACAATGACCAAATTTTCTAATAACACTTTTATTGTATGGTTAATTGTAAACTGCAGAGTTATCACAGAATTTGAACCAGAGCAGTTTTATGTATATTGTTTAAATGCATCTTATTGATCATAACAATTTAATAAAATAAGATAAATTAGATAATATTTTTAGTAACTGAGAGAACTGCCTATAAAATCTTTAATGATATGTTAATATTCGATGAAGTTTCTATTATATTTATGGAAATAAGCTACCGAGACTATTTGCCGCCGTCTCTTGGTTTGTGGTTTGTTTTGAATTTCGCGCAAAGCTACACGAGGGCTATCTGCGCTAACCGTCCCTGATTTAGCAGTGTAAGACTAGAGGGAAGACAGGTAGTCATCACCACCCACTGCCAACTCTTGGGCTACTCTTTTATCAACGAATAGTGGGACTAATCGTATCATTATAACGCTTCCACGGCTGAAAGGGCGAGCATGTTTTGATGGGACGGAGATTCGAACCCGCGATCCTCAGATTGCGAGTCAAGCGCCCTAACCACCTACCGCCGTCCCTAATTTTCAACTACTGACCAGAGGAAAGACAACCATTTAGCAGCACCCTGTCACCCATGATAAGGAATTGACACTCATTCTTATAACGCTCCCACACGTTAAAGTGCGAACAATATCTTATGTGTAAGATTCGAACCCAGCTCCGAAATCCAGAACTCCACCATGGACTAACCCACAACTTTCGATGAAGCTGATAATGAAGCAACTAGACAAGCTTCTTCAAAATTAGATAAATGTGGGAGACTGTCTCGTGTTCCATAGATAACACCGTAGGAAAAAAAGGTTGCCGTCCGGCTCGTGAAATACGAACGTTGATAGCCCATTCACCCATCCCTCCACCTGCGTCTTTAGAAGAACACCTTTGATGAACACTGGAATATAATCGTGATTCTTTCGGTCATTTACTCTGGAATAGAAGATATTGTAATATAAACCAAGAATTAGAAAATTAAACTTATCCAAAACAAGTGGTTCCCCCTGGTGGTTCAATACAGATAGCTCAGCGTGTGGCTCTGCGCTTAACAACAATCAAACGAACGGGCGTGAAAAGTTTTCTTGTAGATTAATAAT